AAAAAAATGCTTTTAAAAGTCTCTGACGATCAGGCAACTCAGCTGGGATCGTCAGAAGCTTTTAAAAGCATTATTTTCTACAACCTCTTTGGCTGAAGAGGTTGTAGAAAAAATGCTTTTAAAAGCCTCTGACGATCCCAGTTGAACCGCGCAATCATCAGAGACGCTTTTTTTTTTTACTTTTAAAAGCATTTTTTTGGCCGAAGAGGTTGTAGAAAAAATGCTTTCAAAAGTAAAAAAAAAAAAACCTCTGATGATCGCGCGGGTCAGCTGGGCATGGGGGGGCAGGGATTTTTGCTATTGGTTCTCCGAACCACCCGCCGCCATCGCTACCGGATCGGGTGATCTGGTCTGAACCGGGAGCATTTCACCCCTGCTTTAAATCATCATCCGATCAGTTTAGTTTAGTGCATTGTTTGCTTTACAAACCATCATTGATAGCTTACTGGGTTGTCTAAAGCTGGCCAATGTGGTGTATATACTACAATTTATGGGTAGACATAGAGATGGATAATTCCATTGTTCGGGTCATTTTTTGAGGGGTCCTTGGTGCTCTCTGAGCTCGGTTGTTTCCTTGTAGACGTTTCATTACCAAACTAGGTAACATCATCAGTGCTATTAAAGGAATAGGGTTTACCTCTCAGTTTATATTCTAGCAGCTTGCCCTGTCAGTGTTGGTGGGAGCGATCTTGGAAAATTCTTTGGTTGGGCTGTTTACTGTTAGCCTGTTTAGCAGTTCCTTGACTGAACATGTTGTGGCCCGCCAGCAGCCTGCGCGGATCGTGGCTGATCCCGACGACGAGGAGGCTGGTGTGGTGTCACACCAGCAGCCTGTGCAGCCAGCGCTCGTGTCAGACAGTGAGGAGGTTGAAGAGGATGTGGTGCTAGAGGCAGAGACTCAACCAGGGCCTTCAGAACCTCCAGAGGCTCCTTCAAGTGGGGAGAGCGAAGTGGAGGAGCCTCTCCTCAATGCTCGAGCATGCAGGGCTGCCAAAAGGCAGGAGTGGCTACTCAGGAGGAGGAGGTCTCCTCGAGAGTAAGGCTTGAGGATAATTGGCCACTCCCCTAGCCTATTTAAGTCACATGCCGTTAGTAAGTTTCTTGCTGGAAACAACTTGTTATTATCATCAGAGCATTTTTGGAAAAGTCTTATCGTATCTTGGTTTCTGGGCTGGTTGCCAACCTTTGCCGGACTTTGGTTTATTCTTGCTACTTAATAAATTTGATAAGGACCATTGGTGTGTGTCAATATCCTCGGGAATCCGGAGCTGGGGCAGAAGAGAACGTGTCATTTTCGTTTTGTTTCTTTCTTAGATTGACTTAGGCTAACCAAATAAGTATTGTTGGGATGCTGAGCTGAGAAAGGGGGGGGGGGGGGAAGGTTGAAAGACAAAAGGGTCGTTTTTTATTTGGTTTGCAGGGGGGAAGCCTGCTTGTTTGTTTTTTGTTTCAATCAAGAAGCTTCTCAGATGAACTGCGCTACCATCTTCTCAAATGTCCTACCTCAAAACTGGGCAATTAGCCAGAGTTTTGCAGCTCTGCAGGCTTCAAAAAAAATAAGCTTGGGGGTCACAGACAGCCCTAAGGGGCACAGCTGGCCCCCTTAGCACCAGCAAAGTGTGACTTATCCCCACCCTGGCTTTGCATGATAGAAGAAGCCATGCATTCTGTCCTTTAACCATCCAGCTTGCTCTGCGGCCTTCATCTGGGATTCAATCCAGAAATGTAAATGAGCAGAATACATTTGCAACTGGAATAACTTCCTATTCTTCTCGTTATCTTCCTATTGTGTTGGTTCTCAGCAGACTTCAGGGCCGAAAGATTTCAAAACACGGTCCGGATTGGAGGCAAGGGCTCAGGGGTACTTTAGAGCAATGGTGAAATCCAATTTTTTTTTACTACCGGTTCTGTGGGCATGGCTTGTTGGGCGTGGTGTTGCTTGTTGGATGTGGCTTGTTGGGCGTGGCATGGGAATGATACTGCAAAATCTCCATTCCCACCCCACTCTGGGCCAAGCCAGAGGTGGCATTTGCCGGTTCTCCGAACTACTCAAAATTTCTGCTACCGGTTCCTGAACTACTCAAAATTTCCGCTACCGGTTCTCCAAAACCTGTCAGAACCTGCTGGATTTCACCCCACCTTTAGAGGTGAGCTCAGGTAGATCCCTGGAAGGCCTCAGAGAGGAAAACTCCTTTCCTAAATCTTGTTCAGGGTGGACTGTTTTGAATTAGATCCATGCCACGTTCAATTCACAGCCCCGTGCATTCTACAGCTTCAGATATTTAAAATTCTGCAACCCGAGCAAGTCAAATTCTATAAGGGAGAAAGCAACAGGCTTTGCGGTCCAGTTAAATTATTCAAGGGACTTACAACAGTTCATTTAGCGACCGTCTGAAGTTACAATAGCACTGGAAAAAAGTGACTTATGACCCTTTTTTTCAAACTTGCGACCATTGCAGGATCTCCCTGGTCACATGATTGGAATTCGGATACTTGTTGGCAACTTGGCTCACATTTATGACAGTGGCAGTGTCCTGGGGTCATGTGATCCTGTTTTGCGACCTTCTGACAAGTAAAGTCGATGGGGAAACCAGATTCACTTAACAACCATGTTACTAATTTAAGATTTAAGATAAAGTGGCGAGAAAAATTGTAAAATGGGACAAAACTCCCTTAACAAATGTCTCACTTAGCAACATACATTTTGGGCCTCAATTGTGGTCGTACATTGAGGACTACCTGTACACCTTGAGGATCCACTTTTGATCTTTGAAATAGATTTCGAGGTCTATTGATGACTCCCCACCCTCTAGAAATCTGATTTAACCAACTCTCTGGCTTGAGATTTGACCATGTCCCCTTGAGATGCAGTTCTGCAATTTTACAATCTAGAAATCTTGTTAGGAAAAAATATTTCCACACAATAACTGAGACATTCAGTGTTATAAATCTTTACTCTCTTCAACGGGTCGGATTTAGAACAGAAAAATTGCCTCCCGAATAAGAAGGGGTTAAAACCATATAAAACACTTTAAAAGAAGATAAAACTCATTTCTAAGATGGGAAGATAGGTGAGGAGGGAGGAAGAAGAATGAAAAAACTGGAAACGGATAGACTCAGTGAGAGAGACAAGGAGGTCATGCAATTCACAAATTGATGCATGGGGAAGCAAGAATGTTTCATATGGAAGGAAAGAAAGAAAGAAAAGGAAGGAAGGAAGGAAGGAAGGAAGGAAGGAAGGAGGAAGGAAGGAAGAAAGAAAGAGAAAGAAAGAGAGAGAAAGAAAGAAGGAAGGAAGGAAGGAAAGAAAGAAAGAAAGAAAAAGAAAGAAAGAAAGAAAGAAAGAGGAAAAAGAGAAAGGAAGGAAGGAAAAAGACAAAGAAAGAGAGAGAGAGAGAGAAAGAAAAAAGGAAAAAGAGGAAGGAAGGAAAGAAAGAAAGGAAAGAAAGAAGGAAGGAAGGAAAGAAAGAGAAAGAAAGAGAAAGAGAAAGAAAAAAGAGAGGAAGAAAGAAAGGAAAAAGAGGAAGGAAGAAAGGAAGGAAAGGAAGGAAAGAAAAATGAATGAAAGAAAGAAAGAAGGAAGGAAGGAAGGAAAGTAAGCAATCAAGCAAGCAAGAGAGAGAGAAAGAAAAAAGGAAAAAGAAAGGAAGGAAAGAAGGAAGGAAGGAAAGGAAAGGAAAGGAAAAGAGAAAGAAAGAAGAAAGGAAGGAAGGAAAGAAAGAAAGAAAGAAAGAGAAAGAAAGAAAAAGAGAGAAGGAAGGAAGGAAGGAAGGAAAGAAAGAAAGAAAGAAAAAGAAAGAAAGAAAAAGAGAGAAGGAAGGAAGGAAGGAAGGAAGGAAGGAAGGAAGGAAGGAAGGAAGGAAGGAAAGCAAGCAAGCAAGCAAGCAAGAGTGTGACTGATATGGTATCTACCTAAATATGTTAAATCGGTGCTTCTTATTTTTTTCTCTCTCAAGACCCTTTCTCACTTCTAAAAATTACAGAGGACCCCAGAAGAGCTTTATCAATATTTACCACATTAAAAATAAAAGCTGATACATCCCCTGCTGTTCCTGCTTCTCATAATTATTTAATGGCATTTTAATACTGTATGGTTGGAGTTTTTTTCAATGTAGGCTGGTAAATAATTGTGATTTTGCAGACACTGAGACTGCCTGGAGGGGGGACTGCCAGGAATCCTAGGACCACCCTTTAAGAAATATTATAGTAAATAATGGTTAATGCCAGCTTGCGATAAGTGGGTTGTCAAAAATGCAGCTTTATAGAGCTCTGTATTTAGATATATAATTTAACAGTAACAGAGTTGGAAGGGGCCCTGGAGGTCATCTAGCCCAACCCCCTGCTCACGCAGGAGACCTGTACTAGAGATTTGAACTGCTGAACTGCGGACCTTTCTGATCGACAAGCTCAGTGTCTTAGCCACTGAGCCACCTAATCAGTCATTTGATATGTATATATTTAAGGTCTCCTTTAGAAGGTGACTTGGTGACAACTTCAACAGTTCTTTCACTCCATCAAACGCCAGCAGATTTCTACCTTCATAGCCTCTATAGAGGAGAAGTGAAAGACATACAGTAGAGGGGTGGCACTGAACAAATGGGGTATGAGCTGTTCTCCAGATTTTTTAAAGAGCTTTTCCTTCCAAAAATTTGCGCTTGGGTTCCTCTTACCCCACCTCCCAGGATTGGGACCTGACCTTCTTTGCACTAATTTTCTTAAACCAAAGAAACCGGTTGCCTTTCTTTCTTTCTTTCTTTCTTTCTTTCTTTCTTTCTTTCTTTCTTTCTTTCTTTCTTTCTTTTTTTTTTTTTTGAAGACTCTGGGAGGCTTACAAAGTGATCAACATTTTAACCCTTCCTTCGACAACATATTTCTTTAAAAAAAAAAAAAATCTCTCAGCACCTTAGAAACTCAGAAGCTCCAGAGAAAAGGTGAGCAATGATCTTTGGGAAAGCAGTCAACGAAATGCCCAGATGCCTGGTTTCTTCTGTGGCGCTTACCTTCGAAGTCCGAAAGGATCCCATCCAGATGTTCTTTCACTGACAGTTGAGACATCCTCCTTCCGAGGAGCTTGCTCGTTCACGCTTGCCGGGATCTGGTCCAGCTGCCTTTTCCCCCAGCCCACCACTCAGAGATCCTGCAGAAAACAGCAACAGCGAGATTTAGACTCACAAGCGTGCAAAGTTCGTAACTTTGGGTTCAGTGAGCTTCTGTGTCGGTGGTGGTGGTGGGAATAGATTATTATTATTTTTTTGCCCTGTCCTCTCTGGCATGCTCACCTTCCAAAGTTGCCCGCCTGGCTCAGAAAGGAGCAAAAGCAACACAGAGTTGACTTCCCTTCTGTCCCCCCCCCCCCACTTTCCAGAAAGCTCGCCCCCCTCCTCAATCCTCCCCAGCTCAACTCTTCCGGGGATTACATTGGCTGGTTGGGTTTGCCTGGCCCTTCTTTTGCAGGAGAAAGAGGAGATGAGGGGAGGAGAGACAGCTAGGCAGGGAGGGAGGGAGGGAGGGAGAGAGGAGGGATTGATCAGGGCAGGGGGCTCCGAGGTGCTTTCGGCAGACTGGAAAGCAAGAAGAGGAGCTGTGGAGTCCAAGAAACAAGGAGAAGCCGCAGCTGGCGTGGGACACGGCCCTTTTACCCACTTCACTTCTGTCCTCCTTGCCAGATTTTCCCATCCTTCAGGATTTGGGTTTGGCTAGTCTACAGAAAAGAAGGATGGGGACGGGACATGCCAGCAGTATTCCAGTATTTGAGAGTATTTGAGAGGTTGCCACAAAGACGATGGGGTCAACATATTTTCCAAAGCACCCAAGGGCAGGACAAGAAACAATGGACGGAAACTGTTCAAGGAGAGAAGCAACCTGGAATTAAGGAGAAACTTCCTAACAGTGAGGAGGATTAACCAGTGAAACAGAAGTTTATTTATTATTTATTAGTTAGACTTCTATACCGCTTCAAAGTGCTTTACAGCCCTCTCTAAGCGGTTTACAAAGTTAGCATATAGCATATTGCATATTAACATATTGCATTAGCATCTTGCCCCCAACAATCTGGGTCCTCATTTTACCCACCTCGGAAGGATGGAAGGCTGAGTCAAGCTTGAGCCGGTGAGATTTGATCCGCTGATCTGCTGAACTAGCAGTCAGCTGAAGTAGCTGCAGTACTGCACTCTAACCACTGCGCCACCTCGGCTCAAGTTGCCTATAAATATTCAAATATATATCTATATCTATATGTTGGAAGTCTGAAGGAAGCAAGGGAGTTATAACATTACTGTCATAACATTACTGTGATTGGTGGAAAATTTTGAGAAATACTTAACTGAGCCATCTCTCAGAACTGGCTCCAGGTAGTGGTTTATCTGATAAACCATGGTTAATCCCCTCATGGCTTAAATTTGATAGAGATGAAGCAGATCAAAGCCTTTTTTTCAGCATGGGTCAAAAAAAAAAAACCCTGCTAATTGTTAACCAGCCTCCTGCCTTAGGTAGACTTCCCGAAGTGGGCAGAGCAAGTTGGGCCTTTGACGAAGTCCTGCATATTCAAACACAAACACTTTTATAAAAAAAAGAAAAAAGAAAAAACACCCCCCAAGCCCCCCCCCCCATCCAACTCTTCAACAGAAAAATGCAAAAAACGTATGGAATGCAGCAATAACCCAAAATCAAAATGAGATGCTCCATCAATTTGGATCACTCTCTGTTATGATCTAGAGATGATTGAATCTACAGCCCTGTGGGAGACACACACACACACACACACACACACACACACAGAGAGGGAATGTGCAAAAGGATTTTCCCCCCCTCCTACTTTGTTGTGTACCTGGAACTGATCCCACCAACTGAAAGTGTCAAAGGGAGAAGGGCGAGCCATTTGAAAAAAAGCTTTTGCTTGCAGAAGGATTTAGAAAATATTTTTTTTTCCTCCATCCCAACGTTGTTTGGGATTTGATACCTAAGCGGGGCAATGAGACAATTAATTATATCTGGATGGCTGTGCACAATCTGCAAGTCCTGGTTAACAAAGCCAGGGTTGACTCAATGAATTTTCTGGGTTTGTATGGACACGGAATCAGATAATCCTTCCGGATGAAGTTTAACAGATTAACAAGGGTTGGAAGGGGCCTTGTAGGTCATCTAGTCCAACCCACCTTGTCCAAGCAGGAGACCCTACACCAATTCTGGCAGATGGGAGTCCAGTCCCTTCTTGAAAGCCTCCAGTGATGAAGCTCCCACAACTTCTGAAGGCAACTTGTGAAGTTTCTTCTCCAGTAATATTGTACTGCAAACTAGGGCATACAAAACCTTTGCTAGACCAATTCTCGAATACAGCTCGTCTGCCTGGAATCCGCACTGTATATCGGACATTAATACAATTGAGCGAGTCCAGAAGTATTTCATGAGAAGAGTCCTCCACTCCTCTGCTCGCAACAGAAATCCCTTATGCCACCAGGCTTGAAATTTTGGGCTTAGACAACTTAGAACTACTCCGCCTTCGGTCTGACCTAAGTGTAGTGCATAAAATTATCTGCTACAACGTCCTACCTGTCAATGACTACTTCAGCTTCAACCCCAACAATACACGAGCACACAATAGATACAAACTCAAGGTAAACTGCTCCAAACTCAATTGCAGAAAATACGATTTCAGCAACAGAGTGGTCAATGCCTGGAATGCACTACCTGACTCTGTGGTTTCTTCCCCAAACCCCCAAAACTTTAACCTTAAACTGTCTACTGTTGACCTCACCCCCATTCCTAAGAGGTGTGTAAGGGGGCATGCATAAGTGCACCAGCGTGCCTACCATCCCTGTCCTACTGTCCCCGTTTATTTGTATTCGTTTCCTGTATTCATAATCGTATTTATACTTATATCTGTTATCTTATACATGTTTGATAAACCAAATAAATAAATAAATAAATAAATAAATAAATAAATAAATAAATAAATAAATAAATACTTCTGTTCCATTGGTTGATTGCTCTCACTGTCAGAAAATTCCTCAGCTCAGTACAATTTGATTTAGAGCTGGAGGGGTCTAACCTTGACAATTTTAAGACCCATGGACTTCAACTCCCAGAATTCCCCAGCCAGCTTCTGGGAGTCGAAGTCCACAAATTTTAAGATTGCCAACGTTGGACACCCGTGACTTAGAGACTTCTGCTGGGAGGGATTCAATAACTTGCCTTTCATTTCTTCAACCCACTAAGACATCTGGGTTGGTCTTTCAAGAGAGTGGAGAGAGACTACAAATGCATTTCAGATAGTCTTTGACTTACAAGCCCCTGTTTAGTGATAGCAATAGCACTTAGACTTATAAACCGCTTCACAGTGCTTTTTCAGCCCTCTCTAAGCAGTTGACAGAGTCAGCCTTTTGCCCCCAACAATCTGGGTCCTCATTTTACCTGACCTCGGAGGGATGGAAGGCTGAGTCGACCTTGAGCCGCTCAGAATCAAACTCCTGTCAGTGGGCAGAGTTAACACCGCCTTCCTTCCTTCCTTCCTTCCTTCCTTCCTTCCTTCCTTCCTTCCTTCCTTCCTTCCTTCCTTCCTTCCTTCCTTCCATGGTGTACAATGGTTAGAATGCAGTATTGCAGGCTAACTTTGCCAGCAGTTCGTATCTCACCAGGCTCAAGGTTCACTTGTCCTTCCATCCTTCCAAGGTCGATAAAATGAGGACCCAGAATGTTTGGGGGGGGCAGGCGCTAATATGCTGACTCTGTAAACTGCTTAGAGAGGGCTGGAAAGCACTGTAAGCGGTATGTAAGTCTAAGTGTTATGGCTATTGGCAAAAAAGAATGTAAAATTGGATATGTCTCACTTAACAAACATCTTGCTTAGCACCAGAAATTCTGGGCCAACTTGTGGACGTAATTCGAGGATGGCCTGTACTCCAATTTCCTGGTTTTGCTGCAGGTGAGGCAGGGAAAGAATTGCCTTTTACACATCATTCTCCAAGGGCTTTTTCCAGGGATGAGAATAGAATAGAATAGAATAGAATAGAATAGAATAGAATAGAATAGAATAGAATAGAATAGAATAGAATAGAATAGAATAGAATAGAATAGAATTCTTTATTGGCCAAGTGTGATTGGACACACAAGGAATTTGTCTTTGGTGCATACGCTCTCAAGTGTACATAAAAGACAAGATACATTCGTCAAGAATCATAAGGTACAACACTTAATGATAGTCATAGGGTACACATAAGCAATCAAATCATACTAGGAAACAATCAATATCAATATCAATCGTAAGGATACCAGCAACAAAGTTATAGTCATGCAGTCATAAGTGGGAGGAGATGGGTGATAGGAACGATGAGAAGATTAATAGTAGTGCAGACAGTGAATAGTTTGACAGTGTTGAGGGAATGATTTGTTTAGCAGAGTGATGGCGTTTGGGGAAAAACTGTCCTTGTGTCTAGTTGTTCTGGTGTGCAATGCTCTATAGCGTCGTTTTGAGGGTGGGAGTTGAAACAATTTATGTCCAGTGGTCTGTAAATATTTTTACAGCTTTCTTTTTGACTCATGCCGTATACAGGTCCTCAAACCAGGTTGCCTTGAGCTGAGAGCTCCCCATGTTGCTGCACTCAGCCTTAGCTCTAGCTGGAAGGGATAAGAGCTGACACCCCACATCCGGAGGGCGCCACGTTGAAGAAAGACCAGCTGGAACAATGCAAAGCAGCTGGGCTGATGTGGCACCACAGTCCCGTTTCGTCCTAAAGGGTGGTCCGCCCTCGCTCGAAGGTATATATTTTATCTAATTACACCTCTGGCTGACAAGGCCGTTTGCATGTTCCCTCTTCTAGTGGTTTTGGGGAGAGACACTTTGGTCGTATTTTAAGGACTGGTAATGTAAACAGAAGGTAGTTTGGCCCAGAGATCAAATCTGACTTTTTCTCCTTTCTTTTCTTCTTTGATTTAAGGACCACGTAGCAGAGCTGGCTGGAGAGAGAGCCAACGCCTCCTCCGTCCTGGGAGAATTCCTAACAATTGCGCAATTCCAGCCACATCCCAAGGATCCAGTCATCGAGGGAGAAGGAAGGGTCCGTGGGGGTTTCACACGTTGCCCAAAGTCAAGTTTCTTTTAAGACATGCTTTGTTGAAGTATGTCTTACTGTTGGCTAGGTAAAAGTAAAGGTTCCCCTCGCACATATGTGCTAGTCGTTCCCGACTCTAGGGGGTG